GTCTTCTATTTTCTTCTTCTTTTTCTTGTTTTTTATCTTTGTTATGTCTATTTCTTAGTTTTCTCTTCTTTTTACTAATATCTTTGTTACTGTTTCTTAATAAAATTTTTAAGTTTTTAGTTCTTTTTTCTTAGCTTCAGAAATGGTCAAAATGATCGACGGAGAAAGTTTTTTAGCTAGCTAGTTTAAATAGTTAGATATTATAATAAAATTAATTTAAGATTATATGTAATAGTACTATAAACAGAGTATTTAAACAAGTAACTCACAAGCAAATTACAAATATAATAACTTGTATAGAACTACTCAGATAGTCTAATATCTGTGTAGCAAACTACTTAAATAGACAATAACTAAAATTATATATGTAACAAGTTATATACTTTTCATGTAACTATAATAGCAAAGATTACTCATGTTGTGACCTTGTATCTGAAAATTAATAAAATACCTCAAGCAAAATAAGCCTTCTTTAAAAAAAAATAAAATAAATTAAATTAATTAAGATAATTACTATGTGACAAAACTTATAAATCTACTTAAGTACAAAAAAAAAAATATTTTTCTTATAAAAAATTATTTTAACTTATAAATCACATGATAGTTATAGTGTCTAATAATATTAATACATAAACCTAAGCAGTAGTAGAAAAGGCAAATTTTAATTAAACATATATTAAATATCATCGTTATAATTGTACTTTATAGAAGAGGTATGTAGGAAAAACGAAAAGTACAAATAGTATTGCTCTTTTTTATTTAATAAATTTTTTTATCAAATTTAGTTAGACATGCGTTGAGACATCTTCGATCGAAGTCATAAAAATTTTTAATAGCTTGTATTTTTGATAGAAGTATGATCGAAGATATCTTGATATTCTCCTTCTCCTTCACCTAACCAATTTCGATGAATTTTTTTTATTTAAATTCTATGGATATCATCGAAATATCCATCTTAGATCAAAGTCATGAAATCTTTTTCCGGCTTGTATTTTTAGATGTTAGAAATTTTTTTAAAACTTTGATCAAAGATATCTTGACACCCACCTAACTAAATTCGAAATTTTTTATCGCTGGTTTGTATTTTTAATAGATGTTTAAAACTTTGACGAAAATATCTCAACACTCACCTAACTAAATTCGATGAATTTATTTCTTTAGATTAAAAAATTTTTCATCAAATTTGGTTAATAGGTGTCGAGATAACTTCGATCTAAAATTTTTTTTAAAACATTGATCGAAGATATCAACACCTAAAATTCTAATTTGGTGTCAACAATTTCATGATTTGATAAATTTAGATCTAATCATGAATACCCAATTTTGGTAGCGAAAATAGTTAGCGTAGAAAATTTCTTTTTATAATTTGATATTATTTATTAAATATTGATATCGATGGAATATTTTATTTTATTTTTATTTTTATTTTTTGTAAATAGAGTACTGTATTATCTGATATTACCAAATTTTTGTGCTGAAATCTACAGTCGTGATATATATTCAATATCCAGAAGTATACTAATATACTATTAACCACTCTAATCGAGTATACTATAATTAGAATAAGGGTGATAAGGAGTATATCGGTTAGAGTAGTTGGAAGGAGTATGTATGTACGACATTCCGGAACATGCTATCTGCTATCTGCTACGTATGTACGTACTGTACGTACGTACTACGTACTTTAATCGTTAAAATAAGACTATATTTTAGCCAGAAACATGGAATCCAATAAGTCGGAGTTTTAAATGATCATCGATATAAAGATAAATATAACTTATATAAAAACTCCTGATTTTAACACATACAAAAAGGATCATCTGACTGATCTGAAGGAGTGCGGTCTGAGGGAGAACATCTGATCACAATAACAGGACTACAATACAAAATATACAAACTATTAGTCTGTGCTCTATAGCGAACTATCTTTGGCATTATCAAGCAAAATCAGCCATCGTCACCTGAAAATCAAGCTCCATAGTGAAAGAAATGTATGACAATGTACTAAATCAACGCATATCACCATTTCCGGTAATATTACGTCATCTGTATGTCACAAGAGGGTCACAAGATAGTCACAGGTTATCATCAGCTTTTCCAGCCATATATTTGCCCAATGCCCACTAATTTGCCTTCCCACACCTTTCTTAAATTCATCTCAAGAAGGAGCA